TCCCACCCCTGGGACACAGCTCAGTGTGCCTCAGCTCCAGGACTGAGCTCATGTTGAAAGAAAGTTAAAGTTGAGACACGAGAACAATGCAAGGAAACTGCCAACACACTCATGGCTCAGACACGCTCCCAGTAAGTTCTGCAGTGTGGGGAAAACAGGCAACAGTGACATTCCTTTCTGCAGAGGTATTCAGCACCAGCAGGGCACAGGCTGGCCCTGACAGCAATATTCCACATGTCCATCTGTGTCTGCCTCATCCACAGACCTTTTGGAAGAATTTTCCCCATACAGTGGCTGTTTCATTCCTGATGTTCCCCATCCACAGTGAATGCAGTCACACCCAGCAGGATAATCTGCTTGTTTCAGTAAGACAGAAACAACTTATCCACCAACAGAGACACTTTACTGTAATGGTACCCAGGATGTATTTTATTTCAAAGTAGCCTGACAGAATCCTCTGTCTGTCCTGGAGAGGCACTGAACACCTCTGCAGTGAGACATTTCCCCAGAACTTCCTGCCCTTCAGGAGAGGCTACACTGACACATGTACACCCCAGGACTGGAGTGAAACATTAAAATACAGGTTTGTAGGAGACAACATTGATCAGCTCTTCACCACATCTACCCAGCCTGAACCTTTCCCCACCCAACATTTGGTTTGAGAGAAATCCAGAATGAGCCAAATACACTGATAACAACAGGAACATTCCAGCCTTTGACAGACACACACTGGGAGCAGAGCTCAGGCCCAGCCCCAGGTGCTGCCTTACCTTCCCTGAGCAGATCATCGGCCGTGCTCACCCCGTGCTCGATCAGCTTCTGGCACTCATCCAAGGGCTTGATGCTCTCCTGCTCTATGACATCCACCTCCTGCAGCAGGGACAGCAGCCTCTCATCCAGCAGCTTCTTCAGGGTCCCTTTCAAATCGTTAAAATGTTGCTCAAGCACATCCCTGGTCAGTGTTGCGCTCTCTTTGATCTGAATTCAGATAAAGGGAGAGAAGGGTTCAGGATAAAAGGCAAAGGCCACACACATCTTTTCCTGAACTACCTCATCTACATCTGCTGGAGAAAATCTGTTGAGTGAAGTCAGCTCAGAAAAACGACCACTAGCAGTTAACAAATTAGTGCAGTCATTTTTAGTACACACACAAAGCAGGGAGGGAGGCAAAGAAACCAGCCTGGAGGAGGGGAAGAGCATATTAACTAAGCAAAATACAAACTGGGTCACAGGAACTTCAACAAAGGAGTTTTTCTTGTCAAAAAAATCCAAATGCCCTGTAGGTCTTCTCCCTGCTGCCCCTCAAAAAAACCCACTGCTGTAATCCTACACTCTGCCATCACATACTCTGTGGAAAGAAAACGGTATCAGGCTTTTAGAAGACTATCCAGGAGCACTTTTCCAGGCCCTATAATTTTTAAAATCCCCCTAAAACTGCCTTCTTTTCAATTTTGTTCAAATATCTGCCTTTGGGTGAACACCAAGCCTGGTTTGACTCCGGAAGAACCAGACCACAGAAGGTTCTACAAGTGCTTATTAAAATGGTTGCAAACTTGCTGAATCTGACTTTTAGGGAAGAAAACACACTTGGAACGTCCCTGAGCCAAAGATGCAAAAGTCAGGGGTAAACACCTCCCTACGAACGATTTTTCTAAGTCCCACACACAAGGAAATTCTGCAACGTGCTCAGATCTCACTACACGTAATTTAGAAGCACAGACAACCAACTCAGGAAGCTCTCTGGTTAGGTAAAATAAATTTCCTCTTCAAGTAATATTCACGAAGCTCTGCAGCTGCCACACAGCTCGGTTTCCCTTCTCGTGTTATTTCAATGCTTGGGGGGAAAAAAGGAAGTATTTAGCTTTGTGAAGGGGTGGGGTGAAGGAAGGCAGAGCAGCCACTTCTCTAAGCCCATTACAGGCAGCTCAGCCTCAAAATTAGATACTCCTCGCCCTGCAAAAGAGGAAATGCAAGTCCCTGGACACACAGAGCTGTGGAAAAATCACGTCCCATTGGTCCAGAGGAAAAGGATGCAACGGAAGCGATCCATTCACATCGGCCCCCAGATGATAAAGCTCCCACTGCCTGAACCCCAGGGAACTCCTGGATGTGTGATCCTTTGTGGACAAAACAGCCCGTGGTCCCGAAGGTGGAAAGAGAGAAAACAGAAGGGTGCACACGGCAAAGGAATTCCCCCTGAGAGGAAAGGGAAAGGTGAGGTAACTGCACACTCAGGGCCACTGCACAAAGGGCTCCCCCTCAGCTCCCTCTGAGCCATCAGGCAGCACTTTGAGAGGACAAGGTCTGGATTAAAGACAGCCATGCACAATTCATTTTCTTAAGCAGCCTGTGGTTTCAACAGTGACTAATTTAATGCACAGTGAGCACCCACACGCACCCGGGGCAGGGCACTCCCCCAGCAGACTCACAGCAGCTTCCTACACTAACGGAATCTGCTCCAGAAAAACTACCAGGGCGCCACAGAAACATTCTCTGACCTTGGTTTTGTTTGTTTTTTTTTAATTTACTCCTTGCAGAGCTGACTCAAAGATAGTAAGGCACTGCTGCTAGTCTACAACCCCCAGAGTGCTCAGGGGTGCCTCGGCAGAGGAGCCAGTCCTGCCGTGTGACTCTCCCTGCCCACACCTGCCTATCTCATCCCACATCTCCCGCTGGTACCGTCCCAAGGAAAACCCTGCCCCGGCTCCAGCGCAGAGCCGCAGACGGACCAGCCAACCTGGAATGTTGGCAGCG